CACCAAAAGCAGAGAAAATGAGGAGAGAATCAGCTTGCTGACAGAATCTATGAACTGACAATATGTTATACCTGAAACTAGGAAGAAACAACACATTTTTCATAATAAAATTTGACATGATGTACACACTTCCAGCCTGAGTGACTCTGACTCTTTGTGAATTAGGAAGGTTAACATAAACAGGTTTAGGAAGTGTTTTCACATTGAATAAAAGACTAAAATCACATGTCATGTGTTCAGAGTCACCAGAATGTAAGATCCACATAACAAAATTTAAAGTATTATAGAAAGGATGTTTAGGTATACCAGCATAGTTGGCAGTGACATTGACCTCAGAATTCATATCTCCCTGAGATCCAGACTTAACCTGTTGTAGAAGTTGACACAAGTTATTGTACTGTTCTTGAGTGATGGCCCTTTCTGTGGCATTAAAAGTCTGATTTCCACCATCTTCAGCTGCGAGAGCTGCATTAGCATGTGTACCAGCACTTTGAAACCTCTTGTTTTTGGTAAATTTGAAATAAGCCGGAAAACCAATTATCCTATAACATTTTTCAGCAGTGGTCCTGGCTTCTTACAATATGAGCATATAAGATTGTTTTTCTTTCCTTCATAGTTTCCCTTTTTCTTAGAACTTCCAAGCTTCTGACCTCCATATTGTTGTCTTGCAGCCATGAAAGCAGATTCAACAGGGTGTGAGCCATATGTATCTCCCTTTGTTTTTCATATTGAATTAATAGGGAGTAAGCATGATTGATGCTAGGCAGAGGTGAAGCCATCAGAATATTGCTTTTTACACCTGAATAGGCCTCATTCAGCCCCATGAGGAACTGGATGAGTCTGCCATCTTGATGAGATTTCAGAGATCTACTCTTCCCTCCACAAGAGCAATCACAACTACAGTGAACACAGGTATCTAAGCTGTCAAGCTCATCCCAAATTCTTTTCACTTTTGTATAATAACCAGCTATGTCTGAACTTCCTTGAACTGTGTCACTAAGCTCCTTTTGCAGCTGATAAAGCAAAGCTCCATTGCTTTGCCCAAATCTGTCCTCAAGCTCCTTCCAAATTTCTCTTGCTGTTTTGGAGTAGAGGACACTTTCAGCAATTTCCTTGGAAAGTGAATTAAGAAGCCATGATATCACCATGTCATTACAACGGCTCCAAAGTTTGGGGGAAGTTGTAGATACTGCAGGGACTGATATGGTTCCATCTATGAACCCCAATTTGTTCTTAGATGATAGAGCTATGAGAACAGCCCTGCGCCATCCTCCATAACTCCTTCCATCAAAAATATAATTGACAAGAATCATCCCCGGGGAATCAGATGGATGAAGGTAAAATGGGTGTGAAGAGTCATGAGTGAGAGTGATCTGAGGTGGGGTTTGAACACTGGATGCAGTGTCGTCCACTACTCCAGGTGAAAGAGTTTGATTATCAACAGCCATTGAAGAGTTTCAACTTAAGCTTTAGAGGAGGAGGAGGGGAAGAAGAAGAAGAAGAAGAAGTAGATCGAGTACCTTACTGCTCTGATACCATATTGGAATAAGAACTGAAAAATGTATAAAATTTCTTCTCTGTATATTTCATTGAAAGACTGTACATCTATATATACAAAGCAAAAGGAATAAAATCTGTTATTCACACCTACAGGTGTCCTACCTCTATTGCTTAGCTCATAACTAACTAAAAGAATCCAAAGAATTTTACAAATAAATTATTTCTATGCAAACAGTATCACTGATTTTATCTGAATAGGGGAGCTCCTAGATATAGCTGACTGTGCTTGGTCACGTGTGCAGCATGTGCAAAGAATCAATGGACCAGATTAAATCATTGTAATAACACTTGATGAATGACCCTGATTAACTTGACCCACTAGAGATAAAATGGTCTGATCTCCTTTGTTTGTATCGACATTTTGTTTCAAATTCTCATTCTTCACTTCATCTGTAGACTTCGTGAAGCTGGTTCCAACATAGTCGGGCCGTCTGTTTGTTCCCTTTTCTTTGCTAAGTGGGGCTTTCAAGCTAAAGAGGCGGGTGGTTAGTTTTTTTAATCAGAGAAGGCTGGTTGAAGTAAAAGCAGAGAGAATTGGTTAAGTCGGATAAATGGGTCAAGTTATCTGACTTACCCAAGTACTCACATCACTTGAGTACTTGGATATTTCAGTTAACCAATTTGAAGTTCCACTGTCATTCAAACAGTTTGCCATCCATTCAAAACTGACATACTTAGATGTTGTCTCTAATACAATAACTACAGACACCGAATTTCAGAATTGGATCCCAAATTTTCAGTTGCAGCGTTTTGCTATTCTGGGATGTATAAACCTTCAGAAATTCCTTCTTTCCTTCACTACCAGTATGACTTAAGAATTCTTGCTATTGATAGAAATCAATTGCCAGGAAACTTTCCAACTTGGTTGTTAGAGAATAACACCAGACTTGGAGGACTTTGTGCTAGAGATAATGCTTTAATTGGACCGTTGGAGTTGCCATCAACTTCTCTTCCCCATCTACATACTATTGATGTTTCTAATAACAAACTAAATGGACATATTTCAACAAACGTAAGTTCAGCCTTCCCAAACCTTACTATTCTGAACATGTCACAAAATTTGTTGGAAGGCCCTATAAATTCCAAGGTTAGCGGCATTCATTTACGAATTCTAGACCTATCTCAAAATTTCTTGTCGGGAGGAGTTCCTAGTGATCTGACTAGTTCTCCAACATTGTTCTACCTTCGGCTGTCAAACAACAGGTTGAAAGGGCAAATATTTTTGAAGGATTTCAGATCAGGTACACTATCTTTTTTGTATTTGAATGGCAATAACTTTGAGGGACCACTACCTAGTAACATTTTTCTTAGAGCCTTTATTGTACTGGATGCTAGCAACAATAATTTCTCTGGAGAGATTCCGAAATGGATTAGAGATAATTCAAGAATCTTACAACTTGATTTTTCCAAAAATCAACTTGAAGGCTCGATTCCAGTTGAAATTTGCAATTTGAAGAGCATTAAGGTCTTAGCTATGTAGAAAATAGACTTTCAGGCACTATTCCTTCTTGTGTGAGTAGTTTGCCCCTTGAACACATCCATCTACACAAAAATCAATTGGATGGTGGACTTGAATATGCACTTTCCAACATTTCTTCTCTGATTACATTAGATCTTGGCTACAATAGTTTTACAGGAAGTATCCCACACACCATAGGCTCGCTTTCCAATCTGAAATTCCTTCTCCTCAACCATAACCAATTGGAAGGAAATATCCCAGCTCAGATTTGTTTGTTGAACAAGTTGTCCATCATGAATTTGTCTTTTAATAAGATTTATAGTCCACTCCTTCATTGTTTGGGTAACTTAAAACAAGCGGAAAATGATGAAAAAACAATTAGGAGTTTCTATTTTGAGACGTCTTCCAAGCAATAGTGGATACGGTTCTTGTCCTGGATAAGTTCGACAAGGCACTACCACATTACTCATGGACTACCAAGTGACTTCAATTACATCGATGTGGACACTCGGGTGCGATTTTCAACAAAAAGAAACTCATATAATTATAAAGGAAGCATTCTAAAATACATGTCAGGTATTGATCTATCAAGTAATAGATTAACTGGTGAAATTCCCATTGAGCTGGGGAATTTGAGCAAAATACATGCGTTGAATCTATCACACAACCATCTCATTGGAAGAATTCCAGAAAGTTTCTCATACTTACATGAAGTTGAGAGTTTAGATCTTTCCTACAACAGCTTGAATGAGAGTATCCCTGTTGGTCTACTTGAGCTACATCCTTTGGCGGTGTTCAGCGTGGCATACAATAACTTATCTAGTAGAGTACCAGACTTTAAAGGTCAATTCGGAACATTCGACAAAAGCAGCTATGAATCTGACTTGGATTCTATGGAAAGTTTCTACGTCGGCTTTGGCATGTCTTATGGAGCAATCTTGCTGGGATTAGCTGCAGCACTCTGCTTCAATCCTTATTGGAGAAGAGCATGGTTTAGGCTTGTTGGGGCATTGATGCTCACTTCTTACAATTTTCTCTTAGACAATGTTGTTAGCCCTTTCAAGAATTGTTGGTGAAGGAACCTTGGTAATTGTTATTCTACATCATTTTCTATGTTGCTACTTTCTTTATCATCCTCAACGAATGGATATATTTCAGATATTTCTTTTCTCTTATTTCTGTCGTTCCGCATTTTGGTTACATAATAGGGTATCATAATTCATAAGAGTGAAATAAACGGAAGGAACAAAGCCGAGGCTTTGAAACTTCTTGACTTTTAAAAGTAGGCTTTATACCGACACTTCAACCGAGAGTGAGAAATCAACTTTCTGAATTTTTAAGATAATTTCATAAGCAATTCTTGAACTTACCTCCTATTACCACATTTGAATGAGATAAATTATCATCAATCGATTTTATATATACTATGGAAGTTGGAGGAAGGCAGTGATGACTTTCACTTGTTTTAAGCTTAAAAGTTTAAATTAAACGCCCTTTATTGAACATAAAAGTTTCTTCTCTCCATAATGAAAATCCGATTATATAGTAAGATATATTAATTCAGTATTTTTCTTTTTTGATTTATTTACGTGTTTGATTAATATTAAAAAGTATTTATAAGCTAAAATTAGTCAAAAACCATCAAATGATCAGCCTATGAGCAATTTTGGTTTGATCAAACCTTTTATTATTCTATCAGTAATATCTTTTGTATTTTTTAAAATATCCTGTGCAAATCAAAATTTCTAGCTCTCTCTTTATTCCATGTTTGTCATTCGTTTTATAAAAATTTGTAAAAGCACTTTTAAATTTACTTTTTTGTATAAATTATATATCAATTAGTTTAATATTTTTTCCAAACACAATCACTACTCATTATCATTTTTGGGGTTTGAAGAATGTGGTTCTGCATCTTCTAACTTGAGGCTGCTAAGGTGGAGCATATAGAAAACACCTATATTGATGCATATACATCCAAGTAAGAAATTAGGATTCAAATCCTAGTTGAAATAAAATGTACTAGAAAAGATCTGTGTTAGATTTGAGGCCTATTAGTCCTTTCCGCCAAAGTTAAGGACTTAAGAATTAAGATATATAGCTCAAATAGAGTGAAATCGGAGAAACTACCCACACTGGGTCAAAGAATATTATTTTAGGGTAGAAGTTACTCACTGTGTGGGAGATTATTAGTTTGGTCTTGTATGTGTTGGAACTTAGGCCAACACCATGAAATGACTTGATTAATGTCTAAATAATTATGTTCATTGCAAAGGCAAAATACGAGAACTTTATTGTAACATAGAAGACTTAACCCAAATAGTCGTTCATCCAAATATTAAAAACTAAAAATAGTCAGTGAATATATAATATATATATAATCTGTGTCTAACCGTATATAATTGAACATAAAGTGATTTTCGAAGTCGACAAACCTTCCACGGACTCGTAACTTAAAATCTAAGAAGCAATTATATATATNGAATATAAAGTGATTTTCGAAGTCGACAAACCTTTGACGGACTCATAACCTAAAATCCAGGAAGCAATATATATATATATATTCTCGAAGGTTCCCGTGTAAAAAAGTATTATGCACGTCCATTTGATGCAATTTCTAGTTCTTCGCTGCTGCCACTGCTAAGAAAACCCGCACAGTCACCATCTTGGTCACCGTCGCAAATGTCTATGTGTAATCGTTTCCTTCTTCTTCTTTTTTGGTAATTTATTCCTTCTACATGATGATTTCCGAATATGACCAGACGGGCTTTATATCATTTTATTGTACCGTCGGAGTTGTATTTCACCTTGTAGACCCACCTACAACCTAGAGCATTTTTCTCGAAAGGAAAATCAGTTAACACCCATGTCTTATTTTTTTTAATGCTTGTATTTCGTGTGTCATTGCCGCCCTCTAACGTCCATCTTTTACGGCTTCAGAGAAGGTTGCTGGTTCCTGTTCCATAGAGATAGCTGCAAGAAAATTTTGATGTCGTGCAGAAAATCTATCACAATTCACATAATGTACTATAGGATAGGGCGTGCTTAAGTGGTGCGATGAAGTGGATGACGAACTAAATGGACTCAATTTTTGGATCGCATTAGTAACATAGTCATACAACATATTGATTGTTGTTTCTATCTGTCGACGCCCCCTTTTTCTAAGAGTCAAAATCGGGTATATGACATTTGGGAGGAAAACTCTATTCCCTTTCGAGAATTGGGTTTAGAAGTTGAAGAGTCGCCACCTAATGATTATAGTTCATTAGGACACTTTAAGAAAGAATTGAGATGAAGAACCAGAGGTTGGGTAAGGGTTAGAAATTATCTCGAGGGGAAGGTGTTAGGCACCCCTCAAGATCCACTGGTGTGGTTCCCGGCCATGCTACAATTGTGACTTTAAGCAGACAAGTAGAAAAGAAAAGGATTTTTCACATAGTTTTGCAAACAAGTTTAAGAGTTGAAGGAGTAGAGAGTTTGGAAAATTAATTTAAAAGAAAACTTAAAAATTAACAAGTAAAGGGGAGAGGGGTCCTAGGTTTACAAATAATATGGATCACATCAATGCAATATCCAGCAATCACTCCTCAGAAGAGGGGTCGCACGTGATATTAGCGCACCGGTCATCATATCCATATTCTACCCATCCCACCCCGTTAAGGTATTAAAGCGCGGAAAGTTTCGTTACTTATTGCATGCTAGTACCCGTCCCAATCCTATCAGTCCCGGAGGCATTTAGGACTACTAATCCTAAAGGGAAAGGGATTTGGGGCCTTTTGAGAGCTTTCAAAGGACAAAACACTAGGCGTCAATCAAAACACATAATGCAAGTAAAAGGGGAAGCAGATAAGCAAGTAAGGCTCAAGTAAACCTCCTTAAGTCAGATAAGCCATAGAGTTTAGCATGTCTTGCATGTACTGGTTTGGTCTTTAAAATTAAAGCGATAAGCGGACTGGTTCAACACATACTTTTAGACAGGAAGTCCGCATTAGGCTCGCTCGAATGCAGTTCTTAAGGACTAGTCTACTTTCAGCTATGTGTTGGATAGAACTAACGATTTCGAAAAGCGAACTGGTTATGAAGAGTTACCAGTTTTTTATCAGAGTGAAACGAGTTTCAGAAAAAGAATGTACTGTTTTGAAAAAGATTTAAAAGAAAAGAAAGGAGCTTCAGAAGACATGCAGACTAGTTGGAAAAAAAAGAGTTTCACGAACCTTATCAGAAAAAAGTGAGTTTCAGAAAATGGCAGTTTGGTTTAGAAAATGTTTGTTAACTTACGAGGTTCAAAAAATCACAGAAGACTGCCAGTTTTACCAAAGTATATATTAATTTAAACGGTTGGTGCTATTTTGAACAAATGAGACAATTCCGACTCGAAGTTCCTATAGGCATGCTTTCTATACGTTAACTGATTTTAACACTTTTTAACAAGAGTCTTACAAACATGGTATCTATATGCAACTTTATAATTAAGCCTACAATTTGCTTAATGGTATCATTATATGCAGAAATGTAAACCCCTATGAGCACAATATCTGTATGCATAGTTGTAGAAAGTTTAGAAGTTAAATCCTATAGGCATGGTCTCTACGTGTGAAATTGCGCAGTGGAGAAATTAAACCTATAGACATGATTTTTACCCTTTTGTGCATGAAAAGTAACCCCCTCCCCTTTTCACTAAAATCCCATGAGTTTATACAAATTATTACAGACCAGTAAAAAATAAGATAGAAATAAAAAATACATCAGATATTATAGCTACATCCGAGCAGCCTAATTCAGACTTAGTATCTAACAATATGAGATTGAACCACTTTCGAGATCCAGATTTCCAAAGCCTTCTCTTATCTAGAGTGTTTCAGAGATCCAAGGAGTTTCAGGAACTCCAGGCAGTGCTTACACCTAAGATGTTAATTAGAAAGAGTTACAGTCCAGTGTGGAAGAGCCAGCCCTCAGGTGTCCAAGTTTAGAGGGAGCTCATGGATCCCAAAGCAAGGCTCACAAGAGAGGGGCAAAACTTAGGTTCTAAGAATGAGTGTAAGTGCAAGAGAGGGGGTTGGGGAATGCCATGGCAGGCTGGTGGTCATGCCTAGCCACAAGGTAGGCTGGCACACCCCTGACCAAGCCTGTTCAGCCAACAAATAAGAGCACAAACCAATTGAAGGTCAGACTATGGTCTGTGCAGTGATTAGGACACTGCCAGACCAAGGTCTCAAGCTCAGAATACATATAAGGGGGAAAAGGAATAGGAATTGAAAGAGTTTAGGACTCATGGAGTCCATTTTATATACATGAACAACAATGTCAAGGGTTGTCATGTTTTCTGAACCATAACTCAGCAGACAAAGGGTTCAGGGATGGGGATTCATATAGGAGCAGGAATAACAGGCTTGCAGAAAGCAATAAAATAAACAAAGAAAAGACTGAAGCATAAACATATAAGAGAAGGGGCAGAATTTAAACAAGAAGAGACATACCAGTTGCAGAAAAGTAAGCACAAAGAAAAGCAGGATACTTGCAGCCAAAACACAATCAGAGAAGACAGCTTATGAGTTCAGAGAAAACTCGAATGCTTTTTTAGAAAACCTAAGTGTATTTGAGAGGAAGTGGTGACTTATGCTGTGTGTTCGAACTTGTTTTTTGAAAGAGAAGAGGTACATGCATTTATAGTTTTGAAAACGAGTAGAGAATAAGGTAACAAATAAGGTTTCAACACAAACATGGAAATAAACACAGTCAGAATCAATTAACACAGGTATTCCCCTTTAATCAAGAGATTACTGCTCAAACGGACACTAACAGGATTAATATAAGGAAAGAAGATTAATTTGTAAGCAGAATGATTGTTACCGTAAAAAGAGCAGTAAAACCATATAGTAAGGGATTAAATCTAAATACAGGAATGTACTTATTTTGGAAAGGATCTGGTAAGGCTAAACAAAGAGAGAGAATCAATTAACCCTTAGCGGGCGAGTAAAAAATCAGAATTTCATAAGGAAAAGTTTTGAAAATCAATCACGAGTTTGAAAATCAATCACAGAAGGGACTCAGTATATAAATGAAGTGCACAAGTAATAAG